AGCGGAACGCACGATGGTTGCATTACCCTCACCTTGTGCCGGCTAATTAGTTTACGCATCGAGGAACTAATTATCCGTCCCAAATGGACTTTCGTTTGCAATCAATTTCCAGCGTGAGGTACAATGACCGTTGGCAATATATGTACAGCGGCAACATCTTGAAAGTATAATTGCCGGACAGTTATATGTCGCTGTATAGGTTTCTTCATGACCAAGGTGATCGAGATAGATATACGAATGTTAGATACGCGACTCTCTTTAACAATTTTGAATATTATCGTTTTTTTGGGTCTGTATTCATAGGATTTTATATGATATTCATAGGATATAAGACCGTCTTAAGTTCATCTTCAGGTGCTGTACGGCTCATTTTATTGGCTACGAAGAATCTGAAGATGAATTTAAGACGATCTTAAATATAAGATCTAACTATAAGAGCCTGTCTTAATGTGATATATGCATCGTGAGGTCACAGTCTTTTTTAGATATCGCAAGTAGAATACATGTTAAAATAAAGCTTTTCTCCGTTGCACCCTGAATATTTGCACGGGCAAAAGCTCTACGTTTAGAATATGTGGAAACTCGCGAAGTTTGGCAAATTAAAAAGCGGCGGGGAAGTTATTGGCACATCGTAACAAATTAATTAGGCTCGCCGCAGTTGCTGAAAGTTTCACCTATTATCGTCGGAAAAGGGCTCATCCGGCACCGCCGTTTTTTCGAGGCGATATTAATGAAAAATAATGTGCACGCCGCAATCGCCCCCCTCACAAGGAAGAGAGGAGGCGAGAAACTGGTTGCTCGGTCATATATTATACATTATGTGGGAACCGAGAGATGAAAGTCTATGGCTATGCGATATGTCGTGTATATGCATTTATAAACAATGTGAGCAGAAATCGCGCGCGTAAGGAACGTTCATTACGGCAACGAAATAACGATTTTCGCGCGACAGCTTTATGCANAGTTGACGTGGTAGCCAACAAACTTCTAGCTTTTACGGGCAAATAGCACCCTGATTTGCTATTGCGTTTTTTTGCCCCAATAAACGTTTTACGTTCAGAAGCGACTAGTAATAAATAAAAAATTAAGGAGCGTAGAAAAGTTTTAAATTTCGAAAAAATCGATTTTCAGTTTTTTACGTTATTTTCGGATAAAGTGGATCTTTAGAAATATTTTCCGAATTGACAAATTTTTTTAGTTGAGTTTGCGAGAGCAAAAATAGTCTCAACAAAGCGAAGATATTTCAGTTTTAGTGCTTTTCTTCTATAATTATATCTCTTATTTCGACTTTCTGTTGTGATACTAACTTAATAGATCCAATAAATGAATGAAGCGCGCGCATTTCCACGACACCCTAAATTTAAACAATAATTAGTCGAAAAGCGGTCTCAATAATTTATAGTTAATATAATACAATTTCTTACATATGTATAATCACGTATACACTGTGTGCAATTTTTCGTAATGCAATATATCGTGTGGCGTGCGCAATAATAACGATCACGCGTATTACTGTCTATTCGCGACGGGAGAATTCTAATTTTATCTGTCCGTGTAATTTTTTTAATCTTACAGCCTTCTTTCCCATACGAAAAACGTGTATTTTTTCCGGTCTCCGTCGGTATAATAAAGGTATTGAGGTAAGAGCGGGTCAGCATCTCGCGGGGAGAACGTTCCATCATTAGAGTAGATTACTTTTATGCAATTTCGTTGTGTAGCCAGCGGTCTAAGACGTTACAGTTAGATCTACGCTTTATCGTAACGTGCGCAAAAGAGCACCACGGACGCCGAGGAGGACACGTAGTCTTGAGAACTTCTTCACTCATTGTGATTCGCGAAAGAAATAAGGCCTCGTCCGCGCTCTTCCTGGTGCATCGTCGCGGAATTTCCCACACCGTCGTTCGTCGCGGCCCAGTTTTGCATAAGGAAGGGAACGCAGGGCCGAAGGAGCGGTCGGATGCTATATTTTAAAACGCAACATAGTAAGCAACGGTAGAGTGTCTTTGAAATTCTCGATTCGTCGTTAAACACCATCTGTCTTTGTTTATGGCGTCACGCGTATTTTCACTCAATTTTCGAGTTCCAAATGAAGACACGTCTTCAAATTCATCATGTACCTAAATTCATACACGTCTGTTTTCTATGAATATATATGAAAGTTTAATAATAGCTTCTCACATAAATATCAAAATGTATAAGTCGTCTTGAACAATATTCGATTCTTTAAATATAACACTCGAAATATCGGAAATAATAATTATTAATTATTATATATTATGTATTAATATTTATGCAACCGCTCGTAAAACTTATTACCAATAGATATTGCTGTTATAACTATGGAAATAATCTGGAAATCTCGCAATAATCTTATGATCAAAATGAAACCTTTGCAGTAAACCTTTTTTTTAATTGAATCAAATTTAATCAAATTCCATTCCTTTACAACAACCACTGTTGTAACTTGAAAAAATGCTGCGGTACTTTACTTTCGCCGCACGTAAATGATATTTCTCGAACGAAATCCATTATCCATTTGGAACACGAGAGTCGGATTGGCCGCGAAATTCGCCCCTGCAAAACTCCACGGAATTATTCACGTGAGCGTAACGCAGTTCCGTTTACTACATCCGGTAACGTCGTCATAAACGTACCATGGGTGTTTTGAAGCGCAAGTAGAGTGCTGGTGCGAGGACTTGATAGAAGACGGGAACTCTAAAATATTCGTTGTCGACTGAATGCATACTCATCCAAATCCTATGCAAGAACGCCTCAATAATCCATAAGAAAGGAAAACTATATTCGAAAGGAAAATTATACTCTTCTACAATTATATCCCGATAATTATTGCGAATATTGCAAAACGGTATGGGACTTTTTTGTTCACTTCATGTATGTGTACGTATCGTAGAATAATATAACTCGAAATAATTAGAGGATCACTTCTTCTAACCGTATATTATCTAGTATATGTTCACATCTATTAAATATTGAATATTAATACCAATTTTTCAATAAACATGTTTTTTTTTAAGCATAATATTTTAGCTATTTATTTATTTTTATATTTGATTTAAGCTATATAATTTTTCAACGAAACTTAGTGTGAAAAAATTTCCGATTATTTTGAGCAATATACAGTGCACAACAGTGTTACACCACCGCGCGCGCAACATGCGATTACTTTACCAGCATTGATAGCTTCTGCGATCGCCGTTGTCATTATTTTTCTTGATTTATTACGTTACACATTGTTCATTCACATCGTGACTACGTGTTTCACAAACAGAAATAAATATTGTTAAATTAAATTCGTCAATATATCGCGAAGATAAGCTTCGATAAAATATCGCGAAACAATCCGACGTAACAATTTCACGCATCAAGTCATTATTTTATTCACGAGCGTGTTGATTTCTCGATCATCCGGTGGTTTAGTTTTCAATTTTATTTACAGGATTTAATTCTTAATGAAAATATATAAGTCGAGGTTGCCAAAAATAGAAGTTTTTTGTTGTTCGTTTACACATCACGATTATATCAGTGGCCAATAGAATAGATATTTCAAATTAATTGAAATTATATTTTGCTCACATATATGCATTCATAAACTTTATGATATTGCCACGATACTAGTTCTTTTATTTTTTATACTTACGATTACCGTACGTTACGATTCGTCGCTGTTACATTCTTTAGAGAAAATTTTTGCGTTGAGTTAAATTCGGAGGAATACATATATAACGCAAGTGAACTTTTCAAAAATACTGCGAAGTAGTCTTCGCGGAAGCATTGCAGACCTGTATTCGCAAAAAATATTGCGAAGCGATCTTCGCTGAAACTATCGTGTGTGAAAATTCCATGCCATTCTTGATTACTTCGTTTGCATACGGTGCTGATCGATTTCGCAATCAACGCGATCGGTCTTCGGTTTCCGATTTTTACACAGTATTTGCACGAATGCGTTCCAGAAATGTTGTACCAGCGGTCGCGATAGATTTTCATTTTCATTGGACGAATCTTCACATTCTAATTTTGTCGTTCATTAAGCGAATTCGTGGATTCCGCTTTGAAATAAATGACGATTTCTCATTGGTAATACTTAATTCTTATTGGTATACTAATAATTCTCATTGGTAAAATATTCGTGGAGGCGTCGTAAAATAATATTAATCACGTCGCGAGTGGTAATAAAGTGCAGTCAACATGGGACATAATGCTGACGACGAAGGCTGAATGCTGGACGGATGCGGAACGATGCAGTTGCAACGCAGGATGCGAGTTTCGTGTGAGAACCTGGTTGGCTAGACATCGATGAATCTCAACACGAATTGATGAGTGTAAATATCAATACTTACACTAAATGTGGCTTAAAAAGAATTAAAAATAGAAATTAAAAATAGGACATTAAGCTTAAAAAGTAAATATAAAAAGTGTCATCTTTAGTTACGAATATCTCAACTTTCGAACGGTTAATCGTTTGTTAATTATGCCGATAATTAGGTCATATATAATGCAAGTTTCAACGAATTCTTAAAAAACTCATTTTATGCTACAATTAGCTTAAGTGACGATTGTTAGCGATACTTGGTAGATAATTTAAAGAGGATAAATATGAAAATAAAACAGAATAATGTATAAAATATGTAAAGTCATTTTATACAGGACAACTATGTGCTAATGTGTAATAAGAGAAACGCTTATTATTTTCCGTTTTTATTGCAAGATTTATAATACATCGGGTTTTTCGTGGATAGTGCTCATTTCATTTTAACGTCACGACGTGTTATATTACATTAGTGATAACTGTCATGGACCGCACAAACCACTTCGCGTCACTGTTAACTTGTGTTTAATAATCTTAAAAAGATACTTTTATTTATATATGCAAATTTTATTTAACATACACGAATTCGCGATAATATTTTGTCAGTTATAATTTTGTCAGTTATAAAAGAAGTGAACGTATGTTTCTTCAATCAAATAATGCAGCATAATGTTACAGGTGCTGTATAAGTTCAGGAGCTAATAAAAATTTGTAAAAGCAAACGCAAACATCCATGACAGCACCAGGCATCCCAAAGTTACCATGCTAATTGATACCACATTGGCATTATTGCATTTATCTTGGTCGCAAGTTTTACATTCAATTAGATTTTCCGGGCACTCAACTTCGGCACGGATACATTCACGCTTGACACGCGTCTTGTCACCTTTTTCTAAAAATAGAAAATATGACTTATTAGTGTCAATTTTATTTGTTACTAGATAAAAGAAAAATGCGTCTAAAATAGTAAGCAATGAGATATTAAAATATAATGCATGCATACAAATGCAATGTACTATTGAATCCCTTTTAATTTATTGCAAACGAGCGGCATATTTTACGTTACGTCAAAGATTATTATAGATTAGTATTGTGTCGTTATGTAGATTTTTCTAAGCTACAATGGAATATTTATTCGAATGTTTAACCGATTTTGACATTTTAATGATGAGGCGGAAAAAGAAGTTAAAACTCTTGTGTCCTTATGTTTCTAATAGATATGATAGGGATTTTATGATAATAAATACGATAGAATATTAAAAATAATTACGGAATAATAAGAATACTTACCTTCTTTAATTTTTCTACAAGCCCATTTGACTTCATCATGTGTTCTTGGTGATAATATAGAAAGTATGCTTCTGCGTGGTCTATTAAAAAATCTCGGTTGAACTGAAGAAAAAAAAGCAATTAGTGCATGCTAGATATTTCATACTTCACTCAGAATTACTTTACAATAAGGTTTACATAGACTAGCATATTAGTTTTAATATTTACTACACAGGATTATGAAGGTTTTCCGCGATACATATATTCTGTCTATATATTCATGCAGCATGATTGTTACCCAACCAAGCGGTAAGGATATAACATATTATTTATTTTTCTATAAGTGATTTTATATTTTAGGTCATAAATATATTATGATTTCTGAATAATATTTTCTTATGAAATAATCATAAGGCACAAATACATTGACACAGTACAAGCCACTAAAAAATCTTAATTGCTACTGTGCCACTGTTTAACCTATTATGTGATTGATATAATTGGTGTGTATAATCGATATAATCGATAAACTCGAAAAAGATTCTTTTTAACGTACAATGTACAAAGTAAGATAAATTAACAGTAAAATAGAGATTCGAATAAATGTAGTTCATTTAATATTAAAAGAGTTATTTTTCTTCGTGAATTTGGAGAACTTACATTTTTTATTGGATGACACTTCTTTTGCAAATGCTTCTCCTGAGTTTATCGGGTCATCTATTTTATTTGAATCTTTACCTGAATATATTTCGTCTATCTTTTCTATTTCTGGTTTCGTCGGTTCTGTTGATTTCGACGGTTCTGTTGATTCCGTCGATTCTGTTGATTCCGACGGTTCTGTTGGTTTCGTCGGTTCTGTTGATTTCGTCGGTTCTGTTGGTTTCGTCGGTTCTGTTGGTTTCGTCGGTTCTGTCGATTCCGTTGCTTTCGTCGGATCTGTTGGTTTCGTCGGTTCTGTTGATTCCGTCGATTCTGTTGATTCCGTCGGATCTGTTGGTTTCGTCGGTTCTATTGGTTTCGTCGGTTCTGTTGATTCCGTCGATTCTGTTGATTCCGTCGGATCTGTTGATTTCGACGGTTCTGTTGATTCCGTCGATTTTGTTGATTCCGTCGGTTCTGTTGATTCCGTCGATTCTGTTGATTTCGACGGTTCTGTTGATCCCGTCGATTCTGTTGATTTCGTCGGATCTGTTGATTCCGTCGATTCTGTTGGTTTCGTCGGTTCTGTTGGTTTCGTCGGATCTATTGGTTTCGACGATTCTGTTGATGTCGTCGGTTCTGTTGATTCCGTCGATTCTGTTGATTCTGTAGCAGTTGGAGTAGAAACTGTAGTCGTAGTAGGACACTCTTCTGGCTCGAATGAATTTACGTCACTCATACACTTTTCATTCTCTTCCGAGTCGCATACATAACATTTCAATGCCTGTCCTAAGAAAAAGCAACGAAATAAAATATCTTAGAATATGATTGTATATTGCAATGAAACTAAAAGTGAGGAAAATTTTATATAATTTATTTTAATTAATTACACGCATTGTTTCCCATTTTATCGATTCTGACATCACCTACGTAATAATTAACAATGACTATTATAACCACGATGTGAGTTTACAATCTTTTGCTTTGGGAAGTAATTACTCACTTACAAAATCATGAGCAATTAAATAAATTACCAAAAATTTATAACGCATACCTGAATGAACAACGGCGAGTGCGACTACCAAGGCGATGATCACGAAGGGAGGATTTAGCTTCGTCATCTTCAATCCGGCTTGATATACGTCAAATCGACAACTGTCACTGTACCTCGAGAAGTCGGGGTATACTTTCCAACGTTATCATCGATTTTCCTCATATAGCGCTGACTGTGATAAACGTTGGATTATCGCAAGTATAGTCTCCATCAATGCTATCACCTTCACGACGCGATTAAGATGTGAAAAATGGATTATCAGGGATTCATTGTCCTTGATACTTTGTCGCGACCTGTCATCACAGAAAGGGAAAGCTTACGCACACATTTGCAAAAATTAATTTTGACAAGCCCATAGTTGCATATATTCTAAAATTACCCGGTACAAGTTGAGAAGTACAAATATTTGATACTTTTTTTGAAAAGTACAAATATTCGATATTTTTTTTCGAATTTCTGGAAAGTAAGGATTTTGTGCATACATATTCTGGATTGGTGTGATACTGATTTTGCAGATTTAACGAAATTAGCCTCTATTATCTTTATTTTTATTATCTATTATCTCTCGAACGGACTTCATCATAATTGCTAATAGCGTCAAGCAAATTTGGCACGAACGTATACTAATACTTTTATAGCGAACATCATTGATACAGATTGATTATTCGTATAAATATCGACGTTTTTAGAGATTAACAATTATCATAATAATTAGCCGAAATAATATTTTCTTAATCGTCAGAGTTTATGGGAGTTTTCGATTCCTAACATTAGATACCTTTAGAATTGAAGTCCAGTTTAAATTGCTGTGTAATCGATTGAGTAGCAACATTTTATTATTTCATCACGCTATCATACTTCTTCCGGGCTTACTACAGGCGCTGTAATACACAACACTCTTGATTAATCATAAAAATATCAATATTCAAGCATTTAGGCCTGTTGAATTTGATAGCTTTGTCCAAGTGGGCGTGGAATATTTAATGTAGTATTTTCGTTACACGTTTAGAGCCTGAAACTAAACTCTAAGAGGAATCCTCGGCACTCTAAGCAGCCGTTTTCACGGACGACCAAGCGTGACGTCGCGCCTCTCGGCCGTCGACGCGCAGGGAAACATTTCAAGTTCAGTTACGAATTATAGTTAACGTTGCAAGGAGTACACGTTACCGTAACATCTGCATTTTTCACTCATTCAAGCGCGAAAACTGCGCGACCGTTAACGTGGTGCAACACTATTCTTATATGTCCTTCCGGACGCGTTATGGGATTGCAATTATAATAATAACAAAATATCCCCATCCAAGAATTACAGTTCTAGATATTAATAAATGGGCAACATCGAGTTTGATATATCGGTAGTTCGCTACTTTAATTCTCCGTAAATTAATTCTCCGTAATACTTGGAGCAAACGAGTAAGGAAATGAGAAAAGAAAGATAAATAAGAAATAAAGGTTGAGTTGCAAAAGGTCTGCTTCAATAATTAAAGTATAAATAATAATAAAAAATGCAAATAATAATTTAAATAATAATAATAATTATATAAAAATTTGTAGCTACTTGTTACAACTTGGCACATTAAAAAAAGATGTTTTTGAATGATATACTAAACTTATAACAAAAATAGTATAATTTACCGGTACATCTTATATGCTCTTAGTCGCAATCATTGATCTTTAATTCTGAACTGAAACGGCGTTTGGTCATATGATTCAGACAGGCAATTAAACCGATCCTATTCAATATCATTTCTTTATTAATATCTAGAACTCTGCGAAGAACCAAGACACTAAGATGCACATAATCATACGTAAATTATTGATCGTGATATATAATACGCGCCGAAATCATTAAATATGCAGTTATTTCGCACGTACGTCACATATATGTCGCATAACTTCTACGGCAGATTCCGAAATAATGTTATTCTAATCGTCACTTTACGCGAGAACTTTCTCTTCTTAATATTAGATATCTTCGCAATCAAAGCCCGATTTATATCCCGGTGAAATCAATCGAATAGCAACGACTGGATATTCATTGTATATTCTCTGGGCTCATCGGACGCGTGAACCTTTCCAAAGAATATCGGTCGCGATGATCGAAGCGACACGATGATTCATGATGTACCTACAATATACCTACCACGGTGCGAATTGACACTATATACATATAACAAGCTTACAGGAAAATCATTTGACAGATAAGGTATCGTTACGTAAGCGATAGCGATTGCTCTTCGTGGGAAAATGATTTATCTTCTTTTTTTTTGTTTATAACGGTTTCGACGTGTTTTTATGGAACCGTTTCCGTCCGTACAATTTCTCTTGATGAGATAAGCGACACTCAATATCGTTCGTTTGCGCCGATGATGCTTTAAATTCGCTATAAAGAAATTTTAGCAAAGTGCACGTTCCAATCATTGGTCTCGCCGTGTCGCTTTGATCATCTAATTAATTTGCAAAATAGCACGTGAGAAATGATAATTAACTAAGAGGCACAAATAAATCAACCTAATTAAGATGTGTCTCTTGGACATAAAACAATAAACAAACGACTGATTCGTAAATTATCAATATATTTAAACTCATCCAATCCTCAAGATTTTGAGGAGCGTTTATTTCGAGATAAACTGACTATATCGCATTGTTTGTACAATCGTGATTTCACTGATATCGAAACGGTTATTTGCAAAGCATTGGAATAATTTTCGAAGAATTTATCTTCCTTTCTAAAAATAAAAAGAAAATATTTATATTATCGATTCCTGGATCAACTTGGAACAAGCTGATTCTAGTGTCGTTATATAGAGTGAGGTAATAACCACCCCGAATATCTTCGAAATGTGAGAGTAATATACAATAAAAAATAAATCGTCAATTTTAATATTTTTCGTAAACATAAATAGAGAAAGGCAATGAAGGAAAAAGTTAATTTTAATTGACTATTTGAATCACATGATTTAGACGCCATTTTCTTTGCCCATCACAATTAAGAGCATATGATGAACCAGTAAGTTATAATGTTTTTGTTATATATTTTTAATATATTTGACTCAATAAAATTCTTTTTTAATGTGCCGCGTAATAATGAGTAGCTATAAATTATGGGGAGAATATTCTTATTTAGACTAATTATTGAGATTAATCTCTTGCAACCTAATATTTCTTCCTTACTCATCTTTCTTCTCTCAATTCCTTATTCGCTTGCTCCAAATTTCAAAAAGCAAAGAAAATAACGAACTTTCGATATATCGAATTCAGTTACGCCTCCTTATTTATATCTAGGACTCTAAGAATAGGAGAGCAATTTTTCCAATAAAAATTTTGTATTGATACCAATGATCATTACTTCAAATATTTTCTGTAAGTATAAACTTCTTTCATCTTCATCTAGTGAATCAAATATTTTTTTATTTTCCGAGGATATATTCAAAAAGAGGTAATAGTTATCGTCTCACTCTCTATGGTGCGGTACAAAATGGCACAATATTCGTGGATTCGGACGCTGAAGTGCCGAGACGGTAATTGTTACGAAGCCATCCGAACGATATGCGCGCCGAACGAAGTGCGGTGAAACCAGGGAGCGATTATGTCGTGAAAGGGGAGAACCCTGTGCAGCGGGTGTTCGCTAGAGCGTGAAGGTATTCGCTTCCCACGCTTAAGCCATGGAATAACAATGATGCTCATGGATACTCGCGTATCCTCGCCGTCTCCGGTTGCCCGGCGTCAACGTATTCCGCCTCGTGTTATTTCTTGAAATTCTGCCCCGCCGTTTCGCTAAATCGGCTCTCCTTTGATCGGACAGTAGAACGCGGTAAGACGATTTTTCTTACGCTACTTCCACCTACATCGCTTCGTCGATTTCCTCCGTCGCGCGTTATCGATTTTCCCTTCGACATGTAAATCGCAAACTTTACTTGCGGACGCCTTCCGGCAGATTTGGAATCTATTTCTCCTCCGGGAAAGAAATTTGTCCGACTGAATATATGAAATACATATAGAAGAAAGAGGGGATGACAATCTTAAAGTTTATCGATTTTTCCTCATTATTGTAACAATATAAAAATAACGATCAATTTTTTCTGAGTAACTAAAGTCTTACTCATCATCTATATAAACTGAAAAATTTATAAATGAACTAAAATCGTGTTTGATTCAAATTTTCTGAGAATGTGTCAATTTTGTCATCTTGCTCCCATATTTTGGTAAGATGACTTTTAGTGGGTAAGGTGACGAAGGTTAAAAATAAATTTTATTATGCATATAAAAATATAACTTTCACAAACATTTTATATTATTTTGTTATTATAAAGTTATTATAAACATGAGTTGGATATTGACTCGTAATTTATTGCTAGATTAGAAAAATTTTAGGGGCCATTCAACAATTAGATCATATTACGAGAGGGGAAGGAGTTTATTAGCTTGCGTGACAGTTTGTGATAGCAGGAGGGGGAGAGAGAGGGAATAAAGGTTATAGAACGTCATATTAGATAACATAAATTGTAATTATGGATACGCGTAGTTATTCACATTGTTTACAATCGTGACACATTTAGTGAAAATATTCAAGTTTTGACATGGTTTTGTGTTAATTGATCGGTGAGAGGGGAGAATTCCACATGTCATGTAATATTGGAAAGAGACAAATACTTTGTAAGAAAATTGTAACGAAGGAGACTAAAAAATATTTTTATTTAGCATGACGTAATTGTTGAATGGCCCGTCATCCATTTTGTCACCTTACCCTTTTTTCCCTTACATATATATATACATACGTAGAATAAAAAAAAAGTGTAAGAAGGAAAATAAAATTTGATCGCGAAATAATTTGCGTAATTCGACGATTCTTCGATGATAAATCATATCAATGCTTGTTTACTTACAAAGATGTCATGTGTTTTTGTTCACTTTTATTTGACCCCCTAATTTATCAGAAAATTGCGCAACAAAAGTGCATTTGCGAAACAATCGATATCGATGGTTGCACATCAGTATGTGTCCACGTGTAACATACACAACGTAAAAAATTGCATCGATGAGATAAGGATATCTGATCGTTATCAG